ACTTTCTTCTCTCTCTCTCTCTCTCTCTCTCTCTCTCTCTCTCTCTCTATATCATATTCTTCATTTAGTTTGATTTTCTGTCCACTTTCTGCTCATTTTTCTAGTATATTCTATTTCTCTCTCTCTCTCTCTCTTTCTCTCTCCCTTCCAAATGTCGTTTTTATTGTGAAGTTTTATTATTTTTTACTTTACTTTTGCAGGGAAATTTTGGTGAAGAAAAATGCAGGCTGCTGTGATTACAGGGAAGGGATTATTGAGCTCGGATCTGAGGAATCATGACCGTTGGTTTACATCCGGAGGATTGTGCAGAAGAATTGGTGGAAGGAGTGTTCGTTTAGGAGAGAGGGAATTTGGCATTGATTTGAAAAAGGGATCATCCGGTTTCATGGATTCTGAATTTGTTTGTGGAAGGATCGGTTTTGGAGGGAGCTTTAGATCTAAGCCAAAGGCTAGATCAATCAGGGCGCAACCTTCTAGTATGTACAATTGTTGCCCCATTTTTTTAATATTTTTACTCATTTTTAACTAATTATTGTTATTATTTTTTGTGCTAATTTATTTTGAAATCTTGAGATGATAGAATGCAGAGACTTGAATTATGCATTTGTTCCTTTTGATTACTTGTTTCTTAGATGTCTATCTGTCCGTGCAATGTTGAATTCATGGATTTGAAGATGGCTTGAATTCAGTTGTGCTCTGTTCTTGGCTTGATTCTTACTCCAGTTTATATTAATTTCTCTTTTTAGAGACGTTAAATATGCATTTATTCTTTTATGTCACTACTTTTACTTGTTTAATTGTCCATGTATTTTGGAGTTCATGGATTGGACGGTATCTCATTTTGAGGTTTTCTCACTTTTTAGTTTGGCTTGATTTGTACTCTAGTGTGTATGAATTTCGCGCTTTAGATTGATACTTGGATATGTAGTTTGTGCTGCTTAGCATCATTCCCCATTGTAATAATTGTATTCAACAAATTGTAGTATTGTTAGGTTATATAACGTATCAAGACAAGAGACTTTTTTCACTGATACGTTGTTTCCTGCTATTTGTTACTGGTCTCTGGTTTCTGAAAACTAAGTATCATACATCTTACTCTTCGTCCATCACCTCTGGTTTCTGAAAACTATGTATCATACATCTTACTCTTCCTCCAACTCATTAATTGGACAGTGATAACCCTCATGACAGTGTAATTTTCATCACCATATAGATCATACAATATTTTCCAGTGTTTTTAGACTTGGTCAAGTCCACTCGGCCTCAGCCAAGTTACTCAGCCTCCCCCTGTTGGCGAGTCTAATTGGGGTGGCCAATGAGAAACCCTACACAATATAATAAAAAGGTTAAAAATCACAAAAAAAAATGGAAAATACCATTATATTGTCTCGAGATATGATTTTAGATGATTTGTTGGTTTTTAAGATAATTTGGAAACTTTCTTATTTTTTCCTTTTTTTTTATTTTTCTGAAATATTCAAAGTATAAATCAAACTTTTCAATAATCCATCTTTTTATAGATTTTTTTTCATCTTCTTTAGTTTTCTAATGATTTTAATTACCTCTTTTAAGTTATTTTTATTCTTATCTTTGTTTCCAATTTCTTTTTCTTTTTTTTTTTACTTTTTCTCATTTTTTAACATATTCTTGGGATGTACATAACTCAGCTGAGTCTACTAGTACTTGGCCTAGTTACTTGCCTCGGCCGAGGTGAGCTAGAAAACACTGATATTTTCATTCAGTGAAATATTTTCATTTTGGCCTTGGTCAAATAACTTGTTGACAAGTAGCTGAAGATAAAAGTTGAAGAAAGATGGCCCTTCTCAACTGTTTTCTTGAGTTACTAGTACTTGGGAGCTGTTAGATTGATAACATGAGTCCTAGAAGGGGTTCCATACTTCCTGGGAGTTGCATATTGAGTCTTGTGATGCATTTCTTTGGTTCATCAAGGAAACTCAAACTTTCTTTTCCTTGAGTGGTGCAAAACATCTTGCTCAAGCTTGAGGATTATCTAAAGTTTAAGAAACTCCGAGTCTTCGATTGCTACTAAGTCTCTTAGCTATCAGTAAAATTATTTGTATCCTACTTAACCATAGGAATCATACATGTCAGAAAAGGGCTCCATGCGTTGTAGTTTTATCAGAAAGATCTAAAAAAAATTTATTTCAATTACAGGGTATCTAGTAGGTATGACAATTATTTTAAGAGTTGTTGTATCTTATGGCATAATATTTTCAGTCCTGTGTGCGAATTATGTAAATCGTGCCAATCACTCTGTTTGTTTTTCCATATAATAACTTTTACAGGGGCCGTTTATATCATCATAGAAACCAACTAGATTAGATTCTTATTGAATTGTACAAAGAAAGCTGCGAAATAGATCGGAACTAGTTAATTTTTTATCTATATATCATCATAAGATATTTCATGCTCCGCAATGATTATGTCTCCTTCATGAGTCAGTTAATTATGTTTCACACTAATCCTTAGGCACTTAATAAGCTAATTTTATCATGGCCACCTGGTACTGGAAGTAAACTTTGATCCTTGCTAGGGATACTACTAGTTTCTACTTATGGTGATATTTGACTCTAGATATGAATTATTGCAGATGGGGATCTAGAAAAAGCATCCTATGTAACTCCTCCGGCCAAATCTTCTGGGAAAGTTCTTCCGTATGTTGGTGTTGCCTGTTTGGGGGCTATACTGTTTGGCTACCATCTAGGGTAATTGTTGTTTTTAGTAATGGAAGAGCACCATGACACCATCATATTAACATTTTATTAAATGCCAATCCAGCTTCATTCGAAACTTAAAACTTTGTTATTCTAACGCCTGTGTTTTCTCACCTATTATTTTATTCATCGCCTGTTATTATATTCATGTATGCATCAGTGTGGTGAATGGAGCACTGGAGTATCTCTCAAAGGACCTTGGGATAGCTGAGAACACTGTGTTACAAGGTGATGCAATAATTCATTTATTATTAAATGATAATCATTGCGTCATATTGCGAAGTTACTTAAAACAACTATTTATTGCTATGCCAATATGATCTAGGAGTATATTTGGTTCACAGTTTGTGAGTTTGACATCTAGGAATTCCAATTGACCCAATCGTTATGATATCTTACATACCTGATGTACAAATATCTAATTTTCATGATCATTATTCTTGGGGAACTTGTTCAAGTGCTTCAAGGTATCTTTATGTTTTTTAATATTTTTATGAAATATTTCAATGCGTACATCTCATTGCAAAGATCAATCCAGGATGGGTTGTTAGCACAACCCTTGCAGGTGCCACAATTGGTTCATTCACTGGAGGTTCATTGGCTGATAAATTTGGCAGAACAAGAACATTTCAACTTGATGCCATCCCTCTTGCAGTTGGGACTTTCCTCTGGTATGTCATCCTTTTTGGACCATCCCACAGAAGTTTGATTTAGTTGCGGTAGTTTGGCACATTATCTATTCTGACCTGGTTGAGAAGATTGGTGACAGTGCGACTGCTCAGAGTGTACAGACAATGATAATTGGACGCCTGCTTGCTGGTATTGGAATTGGAATTTCATCTGCCATTGTGCCACTCTATATCTCGGAGGTAGCTTTTCTGGAAAGATTTGTAGTTCTTTTGATTGACACTTTCTGATTTCTGAATTGTTTACTACTTCTCTATGGGCCTTAGATATCACCAACTGAGATTCGTGGTGCCCTTGGATCTATCAATCAACTCTTTATTTCTCTGATTTCTGAATTGTTTACTACTTCTCTATGGGCATTAGATATCACCGACTGAGATTCGTGGTGCGCTTGGATCTATCAATCAACTCTTTATTTGTGTGGGAATATTGGCTGCTTTAGTTGCCGGACTACCTCTTGCTCAAAATCCTACATGGTGTGCCACTAACTTTTATTAGCCTCTATGTGTTAGTAGAGAAGTCCGCAGGTGGATATGGTTGAATAAAAAAACATAGTTTATTTTAAATACAAACAGAAATAACTGGAAAATACATGGGGTTCTTAATTGAATCTTTATTAGAAGAGTTAACCAAACTTGCAATTCAGATTTTAGTTACTTGAAAGTTTCGTAGTTTCTTCTTGTACAGCTTCTAGAAAGGCTTCTATTTATTTTTTGATATATTAATTTTTGATGTATTTCATTTTCTTAATTAATTATTATTGGTCAGGTGGAGGACAATGTTTATCATTGCAGTTGTACCAGCTGTGTTAATGGGATTGGGAATGGCCTTTTCGCCTGAAAGCCCTCGTTGGCTTTTCCAGGTTCATTTCTTGCATGAGAACTAAGCTTTTTGGATTTCACGTTTATTCATGAGTTTGGTCACCACCAGCATTTTCTTGTATGGTTTATAACAAATGAAAATTGCTCAAGTAGTGTTTGCTTCATTGGGGTCATATTTAAGATCAGAGGTTGACACAAATTGGTTTATAGCAAGGGAAAATTCTTGAAGCTGAAGCAGCTATTAGGACACTGTATGGGAAGGAAAGGGTGGCAGAAGTTATGAATGATTTAAGAGCAAGTGGGCAGGGGTCACTGGAGCAAGAGGCCGGCTGGTTTGATCTATTTAGTCAACGCTATCGGAAAGGTAAATTAGAGTATACTTGTTTTGTTTTTAATTTTTTGCCGCTTCACTCTAGAGCTTGTAATTTTCTAATGTAATATTCTGAAAATACAGCTGTGAGTGTTGGAGCTGCATTATACCTATTTCAACAATTCGCTGGAATCAATGCTGTTGTCTACTATTCGACTTCTGTATTTCGTAGTGCTGGAATTGCATCCGATGTGGCTGCTAGTGCTCTTGTAGGGGCAGCAAATGTGTTCGGTTAGTCTCCTCTTTTGTGTGTTTCCCTTCTTTTGGATTTTACCCACCGTAGAGAGAGAGAGAGAGAGAGAGAGAGAGATCTCATCAGAGGGGTTCCCCATTGGCAGGCACTGCAGTAGCGTCATCTTTGATGGATAGGCAAGGAAGAAAGAGTCTTCTAATTACAAGCTTCAGTGGAATGGTAAACATGTTTCTACTTTATGATGGTTGTATCTAAAGCAATTTGGAGAACAAGCTTCAAAGCTTCACTGCTTTATCCAGTTGTTAAATGTGCACACCCCTTCAGCCTCTCTCTCTCTCTCTCTCTCTCACACACACACACACACACGCACACACACGCACAAACACACACACACACGCACACACACACACAACACACACACACGCACACGCACAACACACACGCACACGCACGCACAACACACACACACACACACACACACACACACACACACACACATACACACACAAAGATGTCAAAGGCCTTTTGAGTGTTTTTTTTTTACTCTCTATACATAGACATAGTGAGTTTGTGCTCATTTCCCCTTTTGCGATCTGATTTTATGTCCCAGGCTGCTTCCATGATGCTACTCTCCTTGTCCTTCACATGGAAAGTTCTTGCACCTTACTCAGGAACCCTTGCAGTTCTTGGAACAGTCCTGTAAGTTCTTTTCCTCCTAACTAATATTGTACTCATAGCTGGTTTCTCTAGTTTCATGTATTTTATCTATTATTTACTTAGGAGGAAGAGTACATCGCTTAATTTTTATTTTTATTTTTAATAATTTTGATTCAACCACCCAAAACATCGGTGGTGGTACCAACTTGACATTGCTCAGGCCATCTGCAGTATTGGTGGGTCATTGAAGAATGACTGGCCGAATCTGCTCTGTTCATTTTTTGTGCATTTCTAATGGAGCTTGAGTTTTCTTTTTCCTAAATAAACAGCTACGTGCTCTCATTTTCGTTGGGTACGGGACCTGTTCCAGCTCTTCTTCTTCCTGAGATATTTGCCTCTCGAATTCGTGCTAAAGCAGTCGCCCTCTCCCTTGGCACGCACTGGGTATGTGTGGCTTGGCTTTACTCAATTGTCTTTCCATTTTATGTATTTGTTTTGTTGAGTAACCAATCATGTTTCCCTTGTCATTCTTTCCTTGTTTTGGTATATAGATAAGAACTTAAATTCCTTGATATAGTAAGGACTTGAAAAATCGCACTAGTTCCATCAGTTATCAATATTCACATATTACTGTCTAAGTGAAATCAGTTCTGTCTCTCATGTCATTCTTTCCACATTTTGGTATTCATAAAACTGAAATCCCTTTATATATTAATACTATGGAGTTTTGGAAAATTGCTCTGTTTCTCACATTTCTTAGTATTTACATAACTGGCTGAGTGGCGAGATCTCCTGAACTGGCTAAAAGACAGGCATTTCAAAAGAAAATTACACAAACTAATGAAATACCCACCGTTTTGATGTAGGTCCATTGTGGAATTTTTTCAGCCTTTTGTTTTAGACTCGTGCTGAAAGGAACCCTTAAGTAGATGAAAAATCACTCTTTATGTCACCTGCAGCTCTGACTAAAACTATAACTTGCATAAGTTTTCCGTGTATTTACATCGTCACTTTGGATGATCTTTTAACAACGAACTCTTTTTTTTCTCTGATGATGAACAACTGTGCCATGCAAACCATCACATTTCATCGTTAAAATAAAAAAAAGCTCAGCAGATATTTATTCCATAAATTTGTTTTGGTGGAATTCATTTGATTTGTGGAAAATTAGCAATATGAGCTCAATATCATCTCATGATTTTGTTTGCAGATTTCCAACTTTGTGATCGGTTTGTATTTCCTTAGTGTGGTTAACAAGTTTGGGATCAGCAAGATTTACTTTAGTTTTGCAATAGTTTGTATCCTTGCCGTTATTTACGTCGCCCAAAATGTAGTGGAGACCAAAGGCCGATCTTTGGAAGAGATTGAGCGAGCTCTTAGCCCTGCAGTTTGAAATGCAAGTCCGTCTGCTTGGAAAGAAGAAGGCTTGATAGTCAGGAAAGTATTGGGGTTTGTTGTTTCTCTATTTGCAGAGAAATGTGGGATCCGGCGTAATGGATGGAATCAGAATGTTCTTGAAGTTGGTTCCCCCCCCCCCCCCCCAAACCGCTCCCCTTTCTTTTCCTCTCTCTCTGAATTTCCAAATCTAAGAAATGGGTTGGTACAGCGGATTGACTAATAAAATCCTAGTTGATTGGATGCAAATCGGTTTCTCAAACAATTACAGCTCTATTTTCAGGGCTAGCCAAAAGATATTCCACTCCTCACAAGTACATTGTTGATTAACTTCCTTGGATAAAACTCCACCTAGGATTATTTTTGAGACTGCAAATTTTGACGGATATAATCTCTTTAACATATAGATTCACCTACTAAAAAACAACATTCCTAATTGCACCCTTAAAGCACTTGAAAAAAAAAATTTGTCTAAAGATTGAATAGAAACCATTTAATTTTTAGAGGGTGAGATCTAAATGTTAGAAACGTCAAATTTTATTTACTTTTTCTCTTTGAGAATAATCATCTAGAGATTCTTAGTGAAAATTTTAGATTTAAAACATCAGGTCATCTGACAAGGGAGTAGAAGCAAACTATGATTCTTAGTGAAAATTTTAGATTTAAAACATCAGGTCATCTGACAAGGGAGTAGAACCAAACTATGCTCCAAAGGGGGAAAAGTGTATGTGCTCTTAGGGATGTCAGCAAAACTTGTTAATAAATAGGGAGACCGTGCTGTAGGAATTTACTATTTAGCACTATAACAAATTCTTTTGCCCTTCAGAAGTACACCAAGGAATGAAGGGCAATTTTCAAATCTAAAGTGAATATAAAAACTATTTTTGTTTTTAAGGTTTCCTTAGGAGTTTCATTGTGTAAATCACTTCTATTCATGAACAAATAGAACTCAGAGAAAAATCTATTCCAGTTTGAGGACACAATAGCATACTCTCGATTAGAAATGACTGTTGACTTTGTAGCTAGAATAATGAACGGTATTATTGTATGTAACTAGAATAAGAAATGACTCTGACTTTGTAACTAGAATAATGAATGGTGTTATTGTATGTATGGAAAAGTATACAAGGAGACTGCTTTTAATATAAGGTGGTCACAACAGTTTTTGTCCATCAATTTTCAAATCAAATAGTTATAAGCCCAACAAACAAATTTATTGAACATTATGACACAACCCAAACTACAATCCCTATTATGTATATTTTTCATTTCTTTTTTTAAGAACACGCAGCCCAAGGCCGTGTGCCATCCAAAGCATGGTATTATTGTATACTTTCACTTTGGATGAAGACTACATTTCGTCATCTCCCCTCTCGTGCCCTGTGGACAAGTCTCCCGTCTGGCACTGTTGAGCTTTTAATTTTTCTCGCCCTCCCTCTAGCTCCTTAGTATTCGCTCCTAGCCTTACTCTCTCTCGCCCTTTTTCAATTGCTGCAAACTAGAGTGCCCCACATGGATCTCACTTTATTATTATTATTATTATTATTATTATTATTATTATTATGGTATCCTATCTATCAAGGAAGGATATTTGTGTAAATATCACTAAACGATAATTAGATTTTTGTCATTTTTATAATAAAATTTTTACTAAATGACAAGAGTACTTTGCAAATAAAGTTATAAGACACTAATTTTAAAAATATAACTATACTTGTATAAAAATTTCTAATTTGCTTTTACTTAATATTTTTTATACAAAAAGTAATTATATTTTTAATAAATTCACCCTGTTTTAGAGGTATTTTGGTCACTTTTTTTCATGTAAAATATTTTTTTAATATTTTTCATAGATTTGCTTAT